ATACGTGACCCAAACGCTAGATCTCATGGCTTAAACAAAGCAAGAGAAGAATGAAAGAAAATGGAAAGACTAGATGATTTTGGATGAGGTTTATCCATCACTTCTCTGGTAGATAAGAAATGATAGGTATTCAAGAAGTAAAAAACCTAACCTCGACGTAGCACACACCATCAGGGTTAGTACTGGCCAGGAATAATATATCAGCAGGAAAAAATCCATCCTGCTTCACCTGTAAAGGATGACAAAAATCATCAAAGTCTCAGGTAAAACGCTTTAAGAAATAGCCATGCAGACCATATAAAAAATAAGCACCACATAGATTGTGTTCAGAATATTGTACATATAAAAAAGCTTCACAAATTATAAATATGCAGAGGTTCTTCAATTTCCAGTTAATGCCATTAATATTGATAAAAAAAAAAGTAAAATATGTCGACTTTAAGAACATGGAAACGGGTTCAGCAATCCAATAACTACTGGGTAGTCACAAGTAGAAGACACAAAAAATAGGATTGGACATCCCCTGATGATACTCCCCAAAGTCCGTCTCTATGTCATCACATAAACACTTATTCTCCCTTTGATAGAAGTATACACTCAAATAACACAATAATTATCACATATAGAAAAAATACATTTAGTAAAGTATAAGATGCTTTAATTGCAACAAGACGAGTGAATGATGATGAGCTAGTCTTTGAGGCTATCTGATCCTACTATAGCACAAGCGATCTGTGATTCAGTCTACATAACGTAAGACAGTAGGGGAGGTCTTATACAAGCAAACTATGAGTTACATACAATTTAGACTCCATTAAAGCCCCCAGCTATAGTTGCTTCACTGAAGCAATATTTAAACCAATTGACTGAGTCTAATAATAATCGTCATAACTGTTAGTACGGCATGCTCCTCTTCCACTATTTCTGATACCTACAAACTCCAAAAGCTTAGTATATTATTACTCCTCTTCCACTACATTTACTCCTGCCAAGCTAATATAAATATAATAACCATGACATAGCAAATAGCTCAACACCAAGATAGTAACACGGATTAACTAAAGAATAGAGAACAGATACTCTAACGTTAATAGGTTATAAGACAAGGGATCAGCTAACTTACCCGAACAATATCCCCAACCTGCAGCTTCTTCCAAGGAATAAACACCCACTGCTGATCTTGCAACACTTCAATGGTAGAATTGTTGATTGCCATGTCATTTTGAAAACGTTTCTTCCATGAAAAAACAAGAAAATAACAAGGAAGAAAATAAGTACAGAAGAAATCACGCCTCTGCAGATGAATGGGGAGAGAGATTGTGATACTCACCCAATCTTCCCATGCTTCTTTTATAAGAGAGACAAGAAGCACCAACGTCAGCGGAAGCACATTTGTAATCGGACTTACAGGACTGCATGACAACAAGCCTAAATCAGGATTCACAAACAAAAAACATAAACTAAGAAAGCAATAGTCGATGGAGCCGGAGCAGATTAGTCACCTATATCCCACTTCACCGCTCAAACTTAGTAACTACTTAATTACGACTTCTTCTAAAACTAATCAACAAAACAAAAGCTAATGCACACAACCAAGAACAAACCATGCCTCCAAAAACAGTTAAAAACTGCATCAAGCCAACTTGCCCAAATAAGACTGGCCAGGATAACCCGGTCCCTGCCCATCTCTATTATCAGTGAGATAGGCCATGCAGCTGTTGACAGGTCTAGTTAGATCATAAACTTGGCACCTCCTGAACCATTGGCCAAAAACCTATTTGTATCTCATCAAGCTAATTCAAGATAGATTTCCCCAACCCTACCCTTCCATAATTAATTCTTGACTAAAACTTGGGATTGCGTTAAATTCATTTACACATCACAACCTTAACCAATTTTAAGATAAATTAACAAAATTTTCATAACTTTGGCAATTGTTTAAAACTGGGACTCTTTAGATGCTTCAAATAGAGTTAAAGAGGCTTGATGGTATCATGGTTTTAAATATTAAAGCCAGTTCCAGTTTGTTATTTCCTCTTCCTACAAATACTTTCCCCATTTCATTGTCTAATAATCTAGAACCTGGTTTTTAAGGGCCATTCTGTATCTAAGCATCAGCAGTTAAATAATATTGTCGCTACATACCTCACCGGGGTGCACGACAAGATTGAGATCATCAGAAAATAGAGGTTAGCCACCCGCCTGAACTGTCAGCATAAATTAAAAAGGAGAAATCAGGACATATGGGTGGAAAATCTCATGGGTAAAAGACCACAAATCAAAGGTATAGATATTTCATGTTCACAAAGCACAGGAAACATGGTCTTCGTATCGTCACTGAAATTCAATAACTACTTTCACAAATAGCAAGCAGAATAACGAAAAACTTACCTGCTCAAAAAGGCCTTTAGGTAAAAAGGTAAAAACGTCATACTTTGTTGTGGAGACAGAATTGCTCTGAAAAAACAAGTGGACTAATCAGACTATAACCAGAAGAGTTGTTCGTCATAGAATGACAAGGCAATCTACACTACTCAGACGTCAAATCGTGTTATCCAATTTAAAAAAATTCAGCCAAAAAGTTATCCAGGGTACTAGATCAATATAAAATATTTTAAAATCATAAACAACAAAAGCAACTTCCACTAACGGGAAACTATAACTGTTTCTAGTTACCGAGCACTTATGTTAGAGCCATCCATTTGTCAAATCAAAATATATCTCTTACATGAGAGAATCGATTATTGAATGCTTGAGGTGTGATTTTCATCATTATACAATGCAAGAAACAAAGGCTATTCCTTTTGCTAGATGCTAGTGGGATTTAACCTATGTTTTTTCTAGTAATTGCTCAACAGTTGGTTGATTCTTTTCCTTCTCTTGATTATTCCTTCCCTATAAGTACTTCTTTTTCTAATTTCTCGATTCGAATTATCGAACTCCCTATCTAGCCCATTGAATGCAGCAAAAACACATGAGAAATGGAAAATCTGAGAGGGAGAACATACAAAAAGATTATTCTAGTATATAACCACAGGTTGGAATGTCAACTAAATATAAGCCTAATTTACTAATACCAGACCATTAAATAAGGAAGTTAGCGGATTTTAAATCAAAATGGTGAAACGAACAATAGATAATTAATGGATTCTTGAGCGGCAGCATCTTGCTTGCGTAACTTGCTTAAGCATTTTGTTTCAGCATCTAACTCCACCAACGCCACCAAAACATTTTACAAATAAACCAGTAGAGAGAAATACACCCTCCTATAGAATAGTTACCAATCAATCCAATCTGCGAATATAGAACACACAGCTCAACTCAAAAGCTGTTCTGCATATAAATGCCTAAAACTTCAACATACCTGTTCTGGCAAAAATTTGTCACTGGAGTTCATAACTACTATCATAGATTAAAAATAAAATAAAATTGAAACTCTCTTGTACCCAGGTAACCAATTCCTCTAACATAAGAAAAATCACAAAGCCCACTCCTCACTGTCCTTACGTCACAAAACGAAACACACAATGAAAGGAAATTATACCCAACCCGACAAAGAACACCTCTCAATTCCGCTATGCAATGCCATAAACCCAGGTTCACCTTTCCCCCAAATCAGACTCTCAAACAGTGAAAACCAACCTTAAACAACTCAACTCAATGAGAACATTAAAAAAAAGGCTGCAGACGGAGACCTTGAATTTCGCGAGGGAGTTGCTATCACGATCGTTGCAGAACACGGTCCTGTGTCCCGGCGCCTGCGGCTGCACCTTCCCTAGACGAACCGTCTGAGTAGTCGACACCCGCTCCAACGCCCCCGCCCCACCTCCGCCGGCGCCGGCGCCGCCGCCTTTCGATCCCCTCCATCCGGCCATCGCCTCCCCCCAAAAACTCCACCAGATTCACACAAGCCGAGGTTCGAGAAGAAGAACGAAACCCTAAATACCTTCAAACCAAACGGATTGGTCGATCGAATCAAAAATGGAAACGGAAAAAAAAAACAGAGAATCAGTTGATGGTTGAATTGAAAAACGGGGTTGAGGCTTGGGTTCGATTTCCTCTCCACTTGCTTTGATGACCCGAGTTTTTTATTATACGTCGTTTTTTAATCCGCGTGAAAAAATGGAAAATGGAATCCACGCCCACGGGTTTCTCGGCGCGTGGAGGGTCTGCGCGAATTTAGCTGTGAGGAGTGTGGGCACGGTGGGAGAAGGAGCGTGGGAACGTGGGGGAAGGGAGGTGGCTTCGCCGAGGCCGCAACGGCGTCGTTTAATTTATTTCCGAACTCGACGTTTGATTATCAGACAGTTGAGAAATGTGAAATTCAACAGTTCTATATTTTGACGAACGGTTTGGTTTTGACTTCTGAGACATATTGTGACCATTTCAGAAATTTTCTGCATCAGCGTTAATTTACAATTATTTTTATTTTTTAATTACATATGTTAATTTTTATTTTAGCATTATTATGGCCTTTATTTTGGAGTACTTATTTTATTATTACATTTTGTGAAATTATTGTTAAGGTTTGTTCGAGATACATTGAGATCCTGTAGGAATTCATGTATCTTACATGGAGTATTTGTCGAACAAAAAAAAAATCGCTAAAAATCATCTAAGATGAAAATTAGCGAAGTGGATGAATTTTAACTCGGTGCTCGGTAGTCAATGCATTGTGAAAACAAGATAAATTATCATTGTAAATACAAATATTTACAGAAAATGCAAGAGATGTACGACTTACGAGGTTCTATTTATTCAATTATCTTGCTAATTCGAAAATAATCAAGGTAAAGTATTGGCCAAGTGATGAAAAAGAGTACAAGTGCGAAGTTTGTGTAGGTCGGAAAGAGCTCTTAGTTGCTTGTGTTGTTTTTAAAGTGTTTTTAACATTATTAAGGGGTGTATTTAATTAGGATTTTTAAGGACTTTTTAAGACTTTAGAAATCTTGGTGTATTCAATTTAGATTTGTTAAGATTTTTTAAAACTTGTAAAAATCCTGGGGTATTCAATTGGGATTTTCAAAAGTCTTACAAAATCCTGAGGTATTTAATTTTTTTGACACTAGGATTTATTAAGACTTTTTAAGATTTTGTGGGATTTCTAAACAAAAACCTTATATGAAATCCCACTTCAAATCCTACCTCCGGACTTGAGATTTCATAGAATTCTTCCAAAAACTGAAAATCCTAGAAAGTCTCAAATCTCAAAAAGTCTTAAAATGTCACTTAAATTCCGAATTGAATACTAATCAACTGAACACATGATTTTGTCTCCTAATTTAACTCCCAATTCTAAGCTAGTGACATATGCAATAATAAGCTTTGGTGTGAATCAATTTCGATTTCAAAATTACATGCCAAATTATTTTTTCCAAAATTACATGTCGAATTATTTTGTTCTAAACTAATTATAGACAACAAAAACGAGAAGCATAAAGGCTACAAACATGGGTAGCAAATTATAAGATATTCTATTCATAGATGATAAAAGAGGAACGATAATCCCTTGTTCTCTAATATGAACACCATTAATTCCCACCACAAATTCAATCTATAAACC